TGTCTCTATAAATAATGATGAATGTAAAGATTCAAGTTCAGAGGAGAACATTGTTGAAAAAGAAACAATCACCTCATATGGTAGAGTTTCCAAGCCTCCTCAGAGATTGGGTCTATAATAATAATCGTGTTATATTTCATCTTCCGAAGGAGGGGGATGTAGAGTATCCTGTATATAGTTAAGAATTACAGATAGTAATCTTTGAAATGTCATGACATGGTTGTCAGGATACACATTTTGATTAGATAAATAAATAGACATTCAAACTAAATCTATTTGAATTAAGTCATAATTCTATAAATATTATAACATATTTACAGTGATTACTATTAATTTGGGAAACCAAATTTGAATGCTTTCGACAATGTTTAACTGAATGAATGAAAAACAATAATGCGAATTTATATATTATAGTGAATCTATATCGAATAACTCTCTTCTTCTGTAAAAGTTCATAGTAGGTTCCGAATGATTTAGTCTGTATATACATTTGATAATTTTATATTGAAGAGTTTTGAGAGGCTTTATAATTGATAGTTTTGTTGAACTCCATACAGAAATCGAATATTCAAGTTTAGAATAGATCAAAGAGAAGTATACAGTGTGTCCCACTCACCATGCTCACCATGGGTATCTTTTTAACGGTGAGAGATACGAGGTCGGTTAAATGACACCAAATGTGGAGTTTGTCAAGGCCAACTATAATGTGAAAAAATATTTTGATAAAATCTATTCGTTTTTGTTTTATACGCAAAAAACAGATTTTGATCATTTTCATGTCTCCTCCGTAACTTCTTTATTTATGAAAATATTCAAATAGGAATTTCATATTCTCATGGCAGTTTTTTGAAGTGATTTCGAAAAAGATATGAAATTTATACCAACTCTTCTAGAATTTGAGATATCAGCACCAACTTTAGTTTTTCGAATGTAGGTCATAGCTCACTATGACTTAGTTACAAATAACTTTTTTTCCTCTTTCAGATGATGTGTTGCAGTATAGTTTTGTGTTGATAACAACGGAGTTATCGTCATTTATACAAAAACAAAAAATTATTTGGAAGCCGCCATCTTGAATTTATAAATTTCAACAAGAAAATCATGATCTCCGACCTCAAAAACACCCACTTACCAATTTGGAATGGAATCGGACCAAATCTTGTCCGCCATCTTGGAGCAGCCATTTTTTTTAATTTCAACAAAAATTCCATAATGTATTGTCACCGAAATTATGAACACTTGCCAAATTTCAAGTTAATCGGAGTTATATACTATTTTATCGCTCTTACTGAATGATTTCCTTAAATATACGAATTGTTTCCTATCACTCAAATAAATTTGGAAACAATCGTAGACAGGGCCTCTTAGACCAATACAATACAATTCATTCAAGAGAATTTCGTGATTTACAGTATCGAATTCCTTTCTTAAGTCAATTGATAAGAGTCCACATATATTGTTTGTATCTAGTTGCAATTGGAAATCTGTAACAACATCCATAACTGCGGACTCCGTATCACATGACCCCCGAAAGCCATATTGATGGCTGCAAAGATATTTCTTTGCCTCTAGATATTCTTGCAATCGGTAATCCATTACTTTTTCTATAATTTTAGAAATAACTGGTAATATTAAAGTAAGTCTGTAGTTCTCCATTTTATCTCTGACAAGTTTTGTGGACTGGTCTGACTTTGGCCATTTTCATTATATCTGGTACATCTCCTGACGTAAATGATAAATTGATTAATTTAGTGAGTATTGAAGATAATTCTGATTTTACTGCCTTAACAACATTAACCGCAATTTGATCAAATCCTGGAGATTTTCTTGTACTATATACTATGTACTATACCCTAAGTATTGATGATGTCTTCAATTCCCTGTTCGTCTGTTGGTCTCAAGTACATCGATGCATCACTTGTTCTTTTAATCTAAAATTTGGAGCATGATTTGATTTTGGCAGCTAAATTCGGTCCAACATTTACAAAGTACTTATTGAATTTCTCACAAATCTCTTCTGGGTTGACAATTTTTTCGGAATTCTTAGAAATATATTCAACATCCTGTTTGGTTTCTTTTGGCTGATTTCGAAGTAAAAGGTGGAATGTTCTCCACATTGATTTTTGGTCTTCATTTGATAAATGTTCTTGAAAGTAACTTTGTTTCTTCTCCCTTACAGTTCTTTTAACAACTTCATTAAAATATTGGTACATATCAGTGTATACTTGTACATTTCTTTGCCCTTTCAGTTTTTGGAAATATTTGTCCCGCATTTCAATCAGTCTATGTAATGTCTCATCAAACCAAGGTTTTAAATCTTTCTTTATCTTCCATTTTTTGGTATAGGCACAATCTTGAAATATCCTTATGTAACATGTCAAGTTTATTACAACATCGAACAGGCCGAGGTATGGCAACACTGTTCGCCGTTCTGTCTGTCAGTTAGCAGAAGAGAAGAGACAAGAAGAAAGAAGTTTGAGCTGTCTGACGTCTGTCGTTTAACGTTCATGTTTTCGTAAATATTTCATTTGTAAGAGAATCTCACTTATTAAAATTGTGAAAAGTTTCTATCGATTCAATTATTCACTATCACAGTGGTAAATTGGCGTCCAACTCGAGGCCTTACAGTGAAATAAGTGAAAACACGAGAACAGTCGTCGTGAGTGTGCAACGGTTCCCGTTCCCTTCGACCAGCTTCGATCTCGACAAAAGTCTACAATCCAATCTCTTTGTTCGGTGAATCAAGTTTTTATAATAGCATCCCTACGTGGAACATTATAAAACAGTGCCATTCAACTGAAAATTGCATTTTTGTGAGTGTGATGGTGGATTTATAAACTCAACTAAACTAACAATTAAATTAACAACTGAGAATTAAGAAAGATGAATACATGGAAATCCCATTGGGGTTTTATAAACTTGTATCTGTCAATTAAACTAACAATTAACAACTAAGGAGATGGCCATCTTTCATCTTTTCAACTAAGAATTAACAATTATGAATTCAACGCATGCGCATAAGGCATAATATTTTTTGACATTGACATTAAGGAATTGAAGACCGCGAAAATATGAAATATATCTCGTCTATGGATAAGGGGGTGAGTGAATTCGAAGAATTAACAATGGATACAGAAGATCATTGGAATGATGGGTGCTATTTTACTGGTTACTACAATGTTGCTTGCCACCGGAGTCATCAAGAAGAGAAGAAATCGGAGATTCAAGATAAAAGGCCAATGAATATGAAATAGTTCTCATCAGGAAGGAAATCAACCCTGTTATCAAACATAACATAACCAAAAACATGGATGAAGAATGAATGATCATTCATCACAGAACGCCCAAAACGGTTTCTATTTACTCTAAACGTCAAGCAGGAAACAATAAAAGAACTAATTCTAAATTTTCAGTAAATGATGTTTATAAACGCCTCCTTATAGTTGTTTATTGTTAATTGCTAATTGTTAATTCAAGTTCTTAGTTTAGTTGAGTTTATAAATCCACCATGAGAGTATTCCTTAAGGTTCATTTTCGTTCGCTGCATCGAACTTCATTCTGGCTCTCTTGTTTGTCGTTGTTGTTCTCCGCGCAGTGACTAAGTCTACATTCACCGGAACTATACGTGATTGTGAAATTGAAAACTACCGTACTTCAGCCCAAGTTGGATACATTCGCACACACGTTTAAAAAAAACATACAGTGAAATTGTAAGTACACTTTGCTTATTTGCTTTCGCTGTTTCACCACGGAACGTGATCGAAGACCTCATTCTTACTGAATACGTAGTGACTCTTTTGACGAGTCCAACATGTCTGTCACTCTGACAAATGAACAGTTCCAACAACTTTTGCAACAAATTGGTACCAACAACACTAAAACTGGGAATTTTTCAACATTGAGTGGAGATATAGAACTGCTTCCTGAATTCTGTATATCTTTCATCACTTGGGTATTTTGGTGGTAGTCGCTACCCACTTTCTCCCACAAGTCAGTGGAAGCGTGCTGGGTCCATAACCTGTTGATTATTGAAACTATTACAGGTTTAATATCGGCGTCATTGGAAATGAAGTATCCGAATAAAACATCCAACAACAGTACAAAAGATCGAAAAGGAACTAACACAAATTGTTTCGCAAAAACATAACTAACTACTACAAAATATTATTGACACTTATCTTGCGTCAAGTGTCAAAATCAAAAATCACTGCCTTCGTCTTCTTCTTCTTTGTTTTTAAATCGGAATATAGAGTACAGGACCGGCCTAAGTTGTCGGTATATAATACTAACAATACTTTCAACAGTTTGCATACAAGGTTTCTCTCATTATGTGATGAAACAGCATGAATTCCCAAGTTATAAAACCATAAATGTCATGAACAAAATGCTTGAGAAGGCGTGAGTTTAGGCAAAGGCATCGTTTGCTGAAGATCAACAGTTAACAGTTGAGTAGGTATAATACATCAAGAACACAGCGAGCTCTTTCTCAGTCTGATTTCAGTGAAGCAAAACCACTTTTATCATTTTTGAGATGTTCTTCATTGGATTCGCCTGCGTCACATCTACTACAAGTGTCACTTTCTGGGTGGTTGAATGACAGATTGAGTTTTTTAAAAATATACCTGCATACTGTTTCTATTCAGTGAGTAGTGGGATGACTCAGGTGGAAACCGTCTGATGTGATATTGTAAATATTCTATCATTTCCGGAGACATTCTATGAGGCCTATTGAAATGTCGCCCACGTGAATCGGGAGATGGTGCTGATGTGCCTGTACCTTCAACTTTTTCTGAATTATTTCCACTTGTTTCTTGCTTATTTGACAAAGAGAACAAGAAGCTGTCCGAATTCGTATAATACTCAGTATACGCTGACAAAACTTCCATTATTCTCATTGTTACCGTGACGTACCGAATAATAATTGTTGTTTATTTATCCATATCTGATTGTGTATCAATGATTTTTTAGAAAAATGATTGAATATATCTTTTGTTTTTCAGGAAAAATGTAGTAATAGCTTATGAACCAGTTTGGGCCATTGGAACTGGAAAAACTGCGACTCCCCAACAAGCTCAACAGGTTCATAAAGCACTAAGAGACTATATCAGTAAAACTGTCAGCCCAGATGTTGCAGAAAATACCAGAATTCAGTACGGTGGATCCGTCACTGGAGCGAACTGTGACGAACTCGGTTCTCAACCAGATATTGACGGATTCTTAGTTGGTGGGGCATCACTAAAGCCAGAATTCGTGAAAATTGTGAATGCAAGACATTGATAACCGCGATCACAACATCACAACACTATTTGAATTGTAGGAATATTTCATTGTTTTATATGTTATACAGTGACGTGCATAAAGGACATGAATAAAAAACTTTTGCATTGCATATTGCCAGATTTTAACGAAAATGTTCAACAACACGATTCTTTATTTCTTCAGTTAGAATTAGAACACAGAATAGATATCTGCAATCGAGGTATATACACTACAGCAAAACAGCACTTCTAGCTATTTGAATAGTTATTGACAAATTACTTTCATTATACAGGGTATTTCCGAAATTGCAGTGATCCTTGAAATGGGTAATAGATGACGAAAAAACAAAACGAAATGAAGAAATGCGTTTTTGCAAACGAAAAGTTTAGAAGATAAAGCCTAAAGTGGCCCAACTTTTGAGGAACACTGTCAGTCGCGCCGATAGAGTTCCGTGTAGATTTTCACGACCGCGTCGATTCGTCACAGGGAGGTATAGTCAAGGGTGGATCCAGTGGAGGGGGGTCCTGGGACCAGGCGGACCGATGAATTTTCTGTGAACTTTCAACTCAATCCACCAAAACTGCTATAAACTTCTATCGAAAAACGCTTCCTAAGGGAGACCAAACTCCGCTAAGAGTTTCGGCCATCTGCAATCTCGTGCTGAAAAGCATCACTTTCCGCACTTGACTACTATATATTACGTAAAAAAGGAACTTCTAATTCAAATCCATAGGGCAAGTTGTTTTTGTAAAAAAAACGCAATTTTCTACATTGATGCATCGGTACCTTGAAGACTGGTTTTCCTCTCCAAACCGCTCACATTGAAAATTTGAAATTTGGTACCCTGCATACTTTTTACGGCAAATTAAATCGTGAGCTGAAAATTTCAAAATTCTCATCACAAGTGTATCATTCTGAAGTGGTTTGGTTAGGTTTGAACCCCAGATTCGATGGCTCGTGAGGATATAATGGGTATATTGGTGTGATGATTTGCTATTATCTCGAAGAAAAAAAAAAGTTCTATTATTAGATTCCAGAAAAATTGTTACGTGCGTACCAAATTTCATAATTTTTTGATGAACGGTTTCGTACATTGTGAGGAAAAAATCGTTTCAGGTTGGAATTCTGAAGCCCATGTCCCTCCCACTGACGCGAGAGCTGCATCTGCCCTTTTGGGTATAGTGTGTTGTATGATCTGAAGGGGGGTGAATGATTACTTCCCAGATAGCACAATGTCATTCATAGAATATTCTTCGAGAATATTTGAATATTCTCAGAATATTCTCACAATATGATACAAATATCCTAGGGATGTTTCATGAACATTCGGAATGGACTGTTTTAAATATTCTAAGAATATTCCTAGTATATTGAAGGAGAATGAAGAGAATTAAAAAAAAGCTCTTGCTCCGTTGGAGATGCGAACCTACTATCTTATGATTGAATGTTTACGAACCTGAAACCTTAACCACTTCGCCACGAACCTTATTGATGAATAAAATTAATAGCAAGATGAAAACACTGAATTAGTGGAATAATCAGCATTGAGGCTAGAGAATAATAGGTTATGTCAGGGTAGACATTATAAATATTGATACAAGAACAGGAACATCAATGTCATTCATTTTGATACGACTCTGAATATTCTCAGAATATTCAAAAATAATATTCTCAGAACATTCAAAAATAATATATTCTGAGAATATGTCAAATTGAGTGTTCATAGAATATTCACTGCAGGATGAGAATATTCTATGATCATTCTGAGAACATCCAATGAGAATATTCTAAAATAAGTATACTTGAATGTTATCAGAATATTCATTTATAGAATATTCTGTGCTGTCTGGGTTATGATTTGAAGGAAGTGTATTAACTTGCTCACATTAAAAGGTTAGGTACCTATCTACGTTATCTTCTACTATTCAAAGTCCAAAGGAAACACTAGAAGTCAGACACATTTATTGTATATTTTGTAACATAGTTCAAAGAGGTGTGTCTACTTGAACACACGTTGCCTCTCCTTGTATCTCATGAGTTGAAGGTATCCTGAAACAATTGAAATATTGAATTAATCTGAATGTTATCATTGAATAGAGAAGCAACACAAATCGTTCATCAAATGAGAATATTGCCTGAATCTTCCTGCATGATACGTGGACCATACAATATATGTATCTGCTTGTTGTGGTCTCCTATTCAATGATGATTACCATATTTTTCACTTCAATGGTTTCTCCTGGAAATGAAGAAAACAAACAATCATGAGAATTCACAAAGTAATACGGGAAATCAGGCAAGGAATAACAAGATATTGTTGGGCTTCTGCCCTTGTTTGTTCTAGATTTACATAGGCATTTCACCAAAACCCAAAATTGATTGTGATTGCTGTTGATTTCAATCGTTTATTATTCAATAATCTTTTTTTTGTTCCTATAACATCAAATATATATTATTGAATATCTATGGAAACTTATCATATACAATATCTATGGAAACTACTAATATCTATAAAAACTAGTCTTCCAACATAGCCGCCCGCCTTGAATGAGTTAGCTCTTCTTTCAACGAACATCAATGGTGGTTCTCATCGTTGATCGGCAATATGCACAATTTTGCTACAGTGCGTTTAAAATTCCTCTTGTAGTCTGGATGCTGACTACTCGAACAATGCCGTCGGCTCCTGGATGAAGTTTTATTACTCTGCCCATTGTCCAGCATAACGGAGGTAGATTTTCGTCATTTGATACTACTAATGTGTTGAGTGTTATTGACTCTGGTTCCTGATAAGTCTTCTTGGGGTAAAGATTTGAGAGATGAGCCGATCAGAAAGTGAGAAGGTGTCAAAGTTTGAAAATCTAAAGGATTTTCAGTTGAAGGAAGTGGAGGTCGTGAATTCAGACAGGCTTCAATCTGTGTTGAAACTGTATATAATTCTTCAAAAGTTAAACGGTTGTACCGATAACTCATTTCAAATGATATTTTGCTGACTTTATCACAGATTCCCAAATACCTCTACAATGGGGTGAACGAGGAGGAATGAAATTCCATTCAATACCATCCTCACCCAAATAATTGTGGATGGAAGTTTAGACATTACTATTTAGTAGAAACTGTAAAAATTCCTTCAACTTATTATTTTTTGCACCTACATAGTTGCATTATCACTAAAAATTCGCAGAGGCTTGCCTCTTCTAGATATAAATATTTTCAAACAATTCAAAAAAGAATCAGTTGATAAATCGCTCACAAGTTCTATATGAACTGCCTACGTTGAAAAACAAACGAAAATACACATATAACACTTCACGATATGTGAAATATCTGATGATACTTTTTTTTACTGTTTTTTTCATAACTTTTTTCATACATCATTATATAAGCAATATAATCCAAATTTTTATGGCTAATATCTTTTATAGCACCAGGAATATGAATATATTCCAGCGATATTGGTAGGTATTTTTCATTCTGAAACATTCAATGTGAATGTTTCATATAAACAGTAATATTGTTAAATGGAAAACATTCATGAAATGATTCGTGAAACATTTCCGAAAGTTCAACAATGAATGTTCCAAGAATGTTTCTATATACAGTGTGTCTACCTTAAGGACTTATAACCACCCCTGTAAAATCGTTATTATCCGACCAATTTCAAAAAACCTTTTTATCTACAACTATGGAGTCATTCATACATTGCTTACTCGATTTTCGACATTTAATGGCAGTCATTATTGTGATGAATCGGATAATAAAAGTAATAATGACAGTAGGGTGGCGTAATAATTTGACATCCCATCGTCTTGTCAAATTCAACTAGGTAGGTATTCGTTCTATAAGTTCGCAAATTCACCGTACCATTGTTCTCATAGTTTTAATCACCTTAATTCTACAAATACACGAAAAAATGAGAATTCACTGTTTTCCATCCTCAACAGTGACTATCATCATGAGTAACCATAACCATAAAATAGGATTTGACACTTGACACTCGCAGATTTGCTCACACCTTAGATACTGTAGGTATGATCTAAGGCTCACACTAACACTAAGATGGCTACAGACTATTGGAATAGATTAGTACAGACCAATCAGAACCATGGAATTTCATTGTTGATAACTATAGCTTCTAGAGACAGGGTACTACAAAACTACAATCAATCATCGCGGTGGGGAACGCTACAGCGGAAGCAAAAAATGAATAATCTGCAATAGTATGATTCATTATACAACTGAAAAGTGAAATATCATATAATACTCAGATGATTACAGCACTCGCCTTCGGCTCGTACTGTAACTTTCATCTTCGTGAGTAATAGTCATCATTATGCGCTTGTTGAATAATATACTATTTTGTTGGATAGGTATTTGAAATGCCCATCCAACGAGAGAGTGATCTGATTCTTGGACTGTTGTCGTGGCCAACTGCGACAAATTTCAATGACCTTTATTCCAGAAAGTACTATTAGGGATTTTTTTTCCACGAAACTTGATAATGAATTCGGAATCAGTATCACTTGAAACATAGATTAATTAATCTATGCTTGAAATATACCTGTACCGATTTTGATCATCATAAAACACATCAGGGTATCCGAAAAAACGAATCATCATTTTCTTCAAATAGGTGATCAGCAAATGTAATTCTGTGGTTTTTCTAGAAATAAATAATCACAAATTATCATTGAGGATTATTTCAAATATACCTGTACCAATTTTCGTCATTTGAATATACAATGTTTTTGAGAAAAAAATTAAAAAGGATAGGTAAGCAATATTTTTCATCCTGATAATTCTTCACTCAATATAAAAAAATTGAATCAGGATCACTTGGAACATACCTGTACCGATTTTCAACATCATTAAACACAGGGTGTTCGAAAAATCAAAGTAATATTTTTTTTGAGTTGATGAAAAAATATTGCCTACTTTTTCTTTTCAAATGTTTTCTCATACACATCGTATTTTTGAATGATGAAAATACCACAATACTACATTTTATGATCACCTATTAAAAAAACATAATTCGTTTTTTTGGACACCCTGTGTTTTATGATGAAAAAAAAACAGTAAAGGTGTTCTTCAAGTGATCGTGATTCAGAATCCATCATTGTTTTTGGTGAAAA